AAGAATTTTTTAAAAAAGAAACATATTTAATTCAAAAAGAAATTCATGGACTAAAAATCAAAGGATGGTGAACAATATTCCATACAATGGGACCCCAAAAACAAGCCAGAGTATCTATCCTCTTTTAGACAAAGTGAACTTCAAGCTAAAACTGATCCAAAGAGGCAAAGAATGTTACTACATATTGTTTAAGGGAACGATTTAACAGGAAGAAATAACAATTATAAACATATGCCCCAAACACTTGTGTACCCAACTTTATAAAACAAACCATACTGAACATAAAAATCAGATAAATGTCAACGCAATTATAGTGGGGATCCTCAATACTCCACTGTCACAAATAGACAGATCAACTCGACAAAAAATTAACAAAGAAATATCAGAGTTGAACCAAGCCTTCAAACAGACTTAATAGATATCTGCAAAGTGTTCCACCCAACAACAGAATACACATTCTTCTTAACAGCGTGTGAAATTTTTTCCAAAATAGACCACATACTAGCCAATAAAGCATATTTACATGAATGCCAAAGAATGGAAATTATCCCATGCATACTAACAGACTACATCACAATGAAACCAAAAATCATTGGCAAAAGAAACCAAAAGAAACTATGCAAACACGTGAAAATTAAACAATATGCTCTTGAATAATCAATGTGTCACAGAAGAAATCAAGAAAGAAATTGGACAGTTCCTAGAATCCAACCACAATGCCAGTACAACATACTAGAACCTGTGGGGCACAATGAAAGCAATCTTAAGAGATATGGTTATAGCTGCGAATGCCTATATCGGAAAAACAGATTGAGCCCAAATAAATAACCTAATGATACACCTCAAGGTCCTAGAAAAACAAAAACAACCCAATTCCAAAGCTAGTACAGTGATACCTCTATTCACAAACTTGATTCTTTCCACAATTCTGGTCACAAAACAAATTGTACAACAACCAAATCAAATTCAATGGTTAGGCTCAATTTTGACCTTATGGGAAAAATTGATTCAATTCTCGTCCAGTTCGGTTTGCCACCAGAATTGTGGAGAGGATGGAGTTCACGAACCAAGGTACCACTGTAAAGGAAGGAAATTACAAAGATCAGAGCAGAAATGAATGAAATTTTGAGACTCAAAAAAAAAAAAAACCAAAGAATCAATGAAACAAAAAGCTGGTTCTTGGGAGAATAAACAAAATAGACAAACACCTGGCTATCTATATGCAGGGGATTGACTCTAGACTATATGTCTCAACATATACTAAGCTAAAATCAAATGGATCAAGGAAATAAATGCTAGGGGCAGGGATGTAGCTCAGTAGCACCACGCCTGCCTGGCAAGCACAAGATCCTGAGTTTGATCCCCGGTACCGGAAATCAATCAATCAATAAGAAATAAATGATAGAACAGAAACTTCCTGCTAGAAGACAAAATAGGTAAAACTCTTCAAGTTATAGCCATAGGCAAGGACTTTCTGAACAGAGCCCCAGTTGCACAGGAAACAGTACTGAGAACCAAAAAATGGAATCACATCAATTTAAAAAGCTTCTGCACTGCAAAAGAAACAGACTAAAAAGACAACCTACAGAATGAGGAAAAATTTATGCCAGCTATTTCTCAGACAAGGACTGATATATAGAATATATAAAGAACTCAATAAAATTAGTCTCTCCAAAATAAAAGACCCAATCAAAAAATGGGCAACTAAAATGAATAGACACTTAATAGAAGTACAAATGGCCAATAAATATATGAAGAAATGCTCAACATCACTGGCCATGAGAGAAATGCAAATTAAAACACTGAGATTCCATCTTACCCCACAAAGAATGGTTATCATGGAAAAATCAAATAATATGTTATATAATATGTTATATAAATAACATGTTATATAAATAATATGTTATAAATAATATAATAATATAAATAACATGTTATATAAATGTTATAGAGGCTGAGGAGAAAGAACCCTTCTATATTTTCTATATTATTGGTCAGAATGTAAACTACTACAATCATATGGAAATCAGAGTGGAGATTCCTCAAAAACCTAAAACGAGAAATTCCATTTGACTCAGCTATCCCCCTTTCAGGTATCTTGAAAAATTAATGATACTGGGCCAGGGATTTAGCTCAGTGGTTTCGCCACCTGCTGCACAAGCACAAGGACCTGAGTTCGATTTTTTTTTTTTTTTTGGTACTGGGGATTGAAATCTGGTCCTTGCACTTGCACAGCAGGTGGCGAAACCACTGAGCTAAATCCCCGGCCCAATGCTTCAGTATATTTTAGTGATACATGCAGACCCATGTTTATAGCAGCACAATTCATAATAGCCAAATCTTGGAAGCAGCCCACATGTCTATCAGCAGATGAGTGGATAAAGAAAATGTGGTATTTACACACAATGGAGTATTACTCTGCCATAAAAAGAGGTAAACTTGAGTTATTTGTAGAAAAATGAATGCACATACTTACCTGGCAGGGGAGATACCATGATCACAAAAAATGAATGCACCTTGAGACCATGATGTTAAGTGAAATAAATCAGACATATAAACTTAAATATCATATGGTTTCTCTTATATGAGAAACTTAAAATATAAATTAAGAGCAAAATAAAAGATACATAATAGGAAAAAAGGATATAGATCTTTTGCAAAAGGGAGAGACTAAGAGATGGCAGGAGGAAGGAGGGAGGAAAGGAAAAGAAGATGGAAATAAGATGTATTATGTACATGTACCAACCTCCAAGGAATGTAAATATTATGCACTACAAACATGTACTACTAAAAATAAAAACTGGATAGCCAAGTGTGGTGCCACATGCCTATAATCCCAGCACTCGGGAGGCTGAGGCAGAAGGATTCCTGTGAGTTCAAGGCTAGCCTAAAATATATAGCAAAACTCTGTCTTGGAAATCAGTATGGAGATACCTCAGAGAACTAGGACTGGAAGTCCCATTTGACCCAGCTATTCCCCTACTGGGTATCTTCCAAAAAGAATTAAAAGAATCATACCACAGTGATATATGTGCACCCATGTTCATAGCAGCACAGTTT